ATATAATCTATAAAACTAACTTATATTATATAAAAAATATTATCATCATCATATTCATATATTAATAATATATATCGTATATTATCTCTATATATATTTATATATCGATATTTCTATATGTATTTTCTATATATTCTACTATATATATATCTTATATATAATTTCTCTATATTATATTATATATATAATCTCTATATATATATATATCATAATATATTCTATATACTATATCGATATATATCTATCTTATATATATCTATATCTTACTATATTAGATATATATATCTATATCTATATATCTATTATATATCTATAGCTATATAACTATATAGATATATACTATATATATCATAAATATATAATATATAATATTATATATATATCATACTATTATATATATCTATTATATATATAAGTCTATATACTTATATAATAATTATATATAATATAGTATATATTATATCTTTCATAATCTATCATATATTATTCTATTATATATTATAATTAATTATAGATATATATCTATTATATATACATATATATAGTCTATCACTTTATATAATTATCTCTATACATCTATATTATATAATACTATCTCTATTATATATCTATATATATTATACCTATATATATATATTATTATCTGTCTATATTATCTAATTCTATATATATTATGATATATATATATTTTATATCTAAATATAAATATATATATCAATATATATATACTGATATTATCTGGTATAATCTATCTAATGTATATATTATTTATATATTATATATATTATCATATATATATATATATAATAATATATATATATATATTTATATATATAATATTATTATATATATATATTAATACTCTTATATCTATATAGCTACTATATATAATTATAATTACATATATCAGATATATTACACTTATATATCGTTATCATTTATATAGTAATATATATATATATATATATATATATCTATAGCATGTACTATTCGATTAGTAATATGTATATCATATATTATATATTTATATAGATAGTAATATTATATATTTATATATATATATCTATATCTATTATATCGTATATATATTATATAATATTATATATTTATATATATCTAATTATATATTTTATCTATCTATATATTAGCATAATGTATATATTCTATCTATATATATTATATATAACTACATGTATATATACTTTATATATATTCTATATCTATCATCTAGATATCTATATATATATATATATATATATCTCATATACTAATATATTCTAATATACTCTTCTAGATATATATATCATAAAATGTCTATATCTGTATTAGTATATATATGTTCTTATATATATTTATTATATATATATATCTATCATATGATATTAATAATATAGTATTCTATAGATCTAGTATCTATATATATTCATATATCATATATATATATATATATCTCTCTAGATATATTATTAGATCTAATAATATATATAGTATATTATTATATCTATATGCATATCTATTTCACATATATATACTATATATATATATAGATATCATCTATATATATAGATATATAGATATTAGATGTCTATCTATATCTAAAATATTTATACAAATATATCTTATAATCCTATATCTAATTATCTATATATTATATATACTATATTATCTCTATATTTATAATACATATAATTATATATATATTTATATTATAATAGATATCATATCTATACTCTATAGTTATATCCTATACTCTTATATCTATCTATCTTTCATCTCTCTATATCCTAATCATCTATTTGAATATAATTCTTCTCTCTTCTATCGGTTTGATATAACATCTATCTCATCTATTATCTTATTTTATATTATCTATATATATTTATATATATTCTCTCTCATCACATTATCTATCTATTACATATAATATATCTACTATATATATCTATCTATTATCATTATATTATCTCTATCTCTATCTTACTATATCTAATCTTATCTAACTTTATCTATATCTCTATATATATATATATTCTATAGCTAATTATATCTATATCCATTATATCTATATCTATCTTATATGTATACTATACCTTTCTATCTATACTCTATGATTTATATATATCATATACTATATTCTATCTCTCTATTATATATACTATATCATATATATATATCAGTATATTATCGATATCAGTATATATAATATATTCTACCAATATATTCTCTATACTATAATAGCGTTTAATATACTATATTATAGAACTATATTATAATCTATCTTATTATACTATATCAATTACCAAAATCCAATCCGATATATATCGATACTCTATGTATTATATATATATTTATATCAATTAATAAATTATATCATTTACACATCAATATATTATATATATAACTTATCTATATGATATATATATAGATATATATATATTATATACTATATATAATATATATCATGTATATCGTCTATATCCTCATCATATTTAGAACCAATATATACTATCTATACATATCTATCTACAATAGTGTATTATCTTATCTAATATATAGATATATATATCTCATAAGATACATATATTCTTATATCTCTATATATAATATATATATTAATCGTATTATATATATATATATATATATTATATATATATCTATAGATTTATCTATATTCTATATAATACTATACTTATTTGATCTATATTTATCTATTATTATTTTTGGAACATCTATTCTATATCTATATGTTATATCCTATAGATATCCTCATATATCTACTCTAGTATATCTATATACTCTATATATTATATCTCTATCTACCGCTATATTATGTATATTTATATATATTATACTATTATATATATCTATATCTATATAGATAAATCTCATATCTATCTATATTATCTATCTATATTAGCTAATATATATATAATTATATGTAGATCGTATATCTATATATTCCTCCTCTATAGATTATATATAGTATATATATATTATATAGAGCTATCTTAATTCATCTATTATATATATATATGATATATATCTAATCTTATATAATTATATTATTATCCATCTATTATATATATATATATAGAGTTTATCTAGATATATTATATCTCTATCTTCTGATATATATCTTATATATATATATCTATACTATATATATTATCTTTAGATATATATAGTACTCATATCATTCTAGATTAAGATTATAATAGCTAGATATATATCTTATATAGATAGCTAGATATACGATCATATTATGGTCTAGTAATATATCTATACTATCATATATTCTATGTCTGGACTCTTATATATATATCATCTATATCTATATATCTATATATATCTATATCTATATCATATATCTAGCTAGATTATCCGCATATATATATCCCTAATCATATTCTATTATCTATATCTCCTCTATTATCTCTATATATCTATCATATCTCGATATCTATCTAGTATAGATATATATATAAACTATCTTACTATATATATAGATATATATATATATATACTCTAATAGATGTATATATGATAGATATACCTCTATTCTCTCGATATAGACATCTAGCATAGATAGAATCTTCTATCGATATCATTCCAGATATATCTTATAGCCTAGTCTATAGAGATATTTATAGATCCATCTAGATATACTTCTATCTATACTTATCTCAATATATTATCCTATCCCTACATTTCATATCAGCCTATCTCTCTTAGATAGCTATCTATCTATATATATAATCCATAGATTTCTGTCATTTGTATATCATATATTATATATCTATATTATATCTCTACTCTATCTATCTATCACCATCTATGATTATCTATACCGTATCATATACTCTTATCTCCTAGATATATACTTTATATAGCTGTATCATATATTGTGTCTATCTCTACGTATAATCTATATCTCATACATATACCAGATATATTATATATCTCTATATATAGTATATTATCTATATATAATCTATCTATATCTATATTCTTATATCTTCGATCTTATATATTACTATCAACATATATCGATATATCTAAAAAGTATTCTATCGCTATAGGATATCGTATATATATATAGTTATCTATATCCATGTATTATAGGTATATATATATCTATATCTCTATCTTATATTATCTACTCATCCTGATATACTCTTTCTATCTGTAATATCTATATATCATCTTTAGACACATATATTCTATCTGCAAATATCTTATAGCTATCTATATATATGATATATAATACTATATGCTCTCTATCTCTACTATTGATAACTATTATCTATATATATCTATCTATATCACTGGTTAGAAAAAAAAAAAAAAAAAAAAATTATATAGATATGATATATATCTATATATATATATCTATTAGAATATATGCGATACTATCGTATATATTATCTATATATCTATCCCGATATATATATGAGATTATATCATCTGATATATCTATCAATATATATATATCTATCTCTAACTCTACTATCTAGCTCTATGTCTCTGGATCTCCCTCTTTGTGTTTGTGTGGTTGTATCGTTATATATGTATCTTCCTATCTTCTCTATCTATCTCTATAACTCTCTCTCCTCTTCTCTCTCTCGACATGTATATCATCTCTAATCTCTCGTCTCTACTCTTCTCGATATATCTCTAGCTGTCTCTCTCGATCTATCTGATCTCTCTATCGCATCTGTCCTCTCTATCTCGTCTCTCGCTATCTGTCCCTCTTATCCTGTTATCTCTCTACTCTATGTCTCTCTCTCTCTGCTCTCTCTCTCTGTCTCTCATCTCCTCTTGTCTCTCTCAGCTCTCCTGTGTCTTCTCTTCTCCTCTCCTCGCGTCCTATCTCTCTCTCCTATCTAGATCCTCTCTCTCCATCCTCTTCTCTCCTGACACCCCTGCCGAGAGAGAGAGACCAAGATCGCTATTTATATTTTTCTATGTTTTGTTTATATAGATTTTTTACGATATTACAG